CCTCATGGTGCACCCTGGGCAACGTATACTCATACGGCAAAATAGTCATTGAACCGGTAGTTGACTTCTGACTTCAAACTACCATCACCCCACTGTATGTCATATCTGACTACTTCCATAGTACTCACCTCACCTTTTTTCTACCTTTGTGTCCCTCTGTCTCTTGTACATCTTTGAATCTCTCTTCTATTCACCCTCCCCCCACTCTCGACTTTTTTTCACTTTGATGTTCCTTCCCCTCTGTGAAGCCTGAAGTCAACTAAAGGGCTAATGATAACTATCAAAACGCCTGTCATTTGATATAAATAAATGATCAACACTTATTGATCATTTACTTTGGAAGGAGCGATTTTGCCACTGATTCATTTTTTTCTCACAATGTCGAAGTGAAAGTGGACAGTAAATTCATCACCTTAGGGCCAGGAAGGTAAACGAAACAAGCCCACGCAGGGATGGCATTTGTACTTTAAGATGACTAAGGAATTAGTCACCGCAGGACTACGAATTTGGAAGCCAACCAGGCTATCGAATGAGAGGGAATGAGAAGAAACGTAACCAAATGAATTGAAATCACGAAATCTCTCTTCCATAACCTCTGCGATATTAGCAACCTCTGGCTAAAAGCCTAGTGTCCTCAAAAATTCCTAGGAATTATAGGCTTCAGGACAATGAGACCCTATAATTGTAGCTTGTGTTGGGTAGGAATATTGCTTTCAGAACAGCAATCCTGAATTAATTAAAAGCCATGAACTTCATGCCGGAATCATTTACCTGATAAGACCTTCCGTCCTACTTTTACTTATAACGAACTTATATTAAAAATATGATGGGTACATTTAAAAATTAACGCATGGCCATTAGTAATCACAATAATGAAAAGACCAAGCACCCTAACTTTAAAACTCATTAAATACCCACAAGGAAAGGTATTCACAGTGCTAAACTTGAATGGAGGGAATGTATCTTAGAGCCGCCCATACGAGAAACGCACACCGCAATCTCCTGTCGGGCTAGAATTTACCGAAATAATTGGTCTTCAATGTCATCGAAGGGCATTATTCTCGTCAGCTCTTACGTCGCAGATAAAGTATTAACTGCCGCCTTTCTTCATGTGGTGAATGTAAATCGGAAAACCATGCACCCCCTTACAGGGAGAAGCCATTTGCCGCGTACCGATGGCTTCAACATCCATCAGCGTGAGTTGTAGCCCCTCTCTTAGAATCGAATAAAATTATGAAAATGAATGGTTCTTGCCAAACAAAAAGGGCCTTTACCATTTTGAGACCATAACGTTAAAAATGTCACGATTTCCAGTTACTTTGAGCCTCATTAATGCATAGTTGTAAGCAAATCACAAATTTCCGGCCTACTATGACCAAGACTAAACTATTTCCCGAAAAAACTCAAACAAGCTAGTTTTTCGTAGTCAAGTACAATAAAACGCAACGTTGTGAACGACAGAAGAAAGTAGTGAATGGCTAATAAATAGGAGAGACATATTACTCCCACTTAAAATATTGAACCATCTTACAAAAGAATGACATAGCTCAGAAATAGACTCAATCGATATTTATTTATCTTAAAACTATAAACCAAAAATATGAAAAGATTGTACACCAGTAAAAACTTTACAGGTTTAAAACTAAAAACTACAGATAACATCGATTGTCAAAGTTACAAAGTCAGATCATTAAGAAGAAAAAGACTTCCATAGATACAAAATTAGGTATTCTCGACTTCTTTTTGCTTACATTCTGTACAAGTATAAATTACAGTCTGACCTTCATCAGCTGCTCGAAGTTGCATTGTAACGTATGTCATTGTGCTGTTACCACAGTAAGGACAATCTCTTTTTACAGATGGACCATCGATATTGTCACTGATAGGAAGATGTTCGCCCGCTTTTCTAAGCGCTTCTTCTGCTTGACGAGCCTTCTGTGCGTCAGCAAGAACTTTGTCAAAGATAGGGAGCGTTTGAAAGTTGGTTATTTCACAGTCATTGACATTTTCTGAGCCAAAACAGGCCTTCATGCCAACAAACCACGAAATATAGGTATGGGTCAAGCACTTTCTACATTGAAAAGAATCACTTGGAGTAATTTTATGGGGAAGAAGAGTGCCACAAACATAACAGAAATAACGGTGGCCGCGATTTAGACCTTCTGGAGGCGAGTGGTCATGCCACATCATTAGCGCGTGCAAAATTGCTAGACGATTGGCTGATCAGAAATGTTTGCATTTCCCGCATTTAAGGAAATGATTAAATCAACTATAAATGACCTAGTAAACAGTGAAACGAATAGATAAGAATCTTTATTAAAATAATTTTATGATCTTTAGTCATGTTATGTTGATTATAATCCGAATAGTTAAAATGCTTCATAAGACAGGGGAAAATAGTAGTACAATTGATCACACTATTTTTTTGCAATATTTATCATCAAACTTATTTGTGATTTTTATTGATCGACATTTATATATGTTAGTTAAATCTCTCATATCGGCATTTATAATCTTGCAATTGTCATATATTGTTAAAATGTATTAACCTTATTATCTCCTAATTTTGCTCGTTATATTAAGAAAAGATATATACATTTATAAGCTATAGTGAAATGCCATTCTTTGTATTTCTTAACATCTAAGTAATTTAAGGTCAATTATTTCATTAAGTAACCTTCTTTGTTTATTATCTTCAAGCAATTAACTCGCATTTTTAGACTAATGTAAGGAATACAGTCTCGAGTTTTCAGCTATTACTTTTTATATTCCAGAGAATTAAGTTAATTTTGTCATTCAAAGTTTTTCTGTGAATAAAATTAAGGCCCATGAATAATATATACAAGTATATCATTTGATTGCTTATTTGAGATACAATATAATAAATTAATTGACTCTATGGTGGGAAAAGGTTAATATGTACATTGGCATGATTCTTAGTGTCGTATGGCTCACCATGTATAAATATAGGAGAAGGTCATTTTAACAAAATTTTTTAATTGTGGATTTTATATATCAAAATATTTATTCTTTTCTCTGCATGTTATTTTGACTACAATTTGTATCGTACCTTTACTCAGTCCATCATGCACAACGTTCCAAAATCTCCTTTTAAAAAACTTGCTTGCCCTTTCCAATTCTACTCTAAATCACTTTGTGTTATACATGCCAATGTTAAATAAAGTCAGCCGATATAAGCATTGCGTGTTTTATTTCTTCTTTAAATCGTACAACGTTGTTACTAATGTTGCTATATTAGTATATTAATGCTGGAACAATATAAACATGACTGAAACTAGCAAATCACCCACTCACACAACCAACAACACAACCCAACTGAAAGGACACGACCGATATACACCTCCAACATAATATCGCCTGAAAAGACGTACTTCATACCACATCTGCTTTCTCTATAGCTTTGCTGTAGCTTAGTTAATCATGGGGCTTTACTTACCAGGAGTTCCTGACTAGAGCAGTCCGCTAAAACCTCTTAAATGTAATAATTGTCAATAATTTTTCCCCAAAGTGGAGAATCTGTATAACCATTCAATAGGATTATTCAAATACATAGTTTACTAAAGGATGCTATAATTTTTAACTTGGTATTTTTGTATACCAGAATGGCGCAGTGCTTGGAAGTATGTTCTAGGAACTAATATTCATGTCTGTTTATCCACTTTTTCCTTAGGCTTCATTTAAATATTTGTATTTCCAAGGAGTCCTCGGGAAGCATAAAATAAATCCCCCGTTACTTATAAACTCAATCAAAATAATGGTTAAATTTAAATAGTTAAGGCGTCTTCTGTTTCCCTTCGTCATCATGCTGCGCCAATGTAAATAGCAATCGTATCTTCGTTGGTCTGCCAAAATTTCCATTGTGAAATTAATCATTCTGACTTTGTCGCAATAGGAAAGGTCTCCAACTACAGATAATCCATCTTCTTTACCAATAATGTGAGCTATTTAGTATTAATCGGAGTTCGAAATGCTGCTTTCGCTTACCAAACTTTATGGAATTATATCAGGATATCAGCCTGCAAATTGCAAAGCACGCTTTATTATCTTATAACACCAACCTTTATGATCGCGGATTAACCCTCGCAAGTGCCAACGGCCGCACCAACGACCCGAAATGGGCATGCTGTTTTTTTACTTTACCATAGTATACTTCATTCTTAAAATTTCAGCGTTGATTAAAGCATAGTTGAGTTCCTACTTGGAAAGATATACTCATGGAGTTCATATTTATGATTTATCTATTAAAATGACAAAACTCAGCCGATAGCAAATGACGTTTCTACTTATTTATTTCAGTAGAATGTGGATTTCATGTGTTATATGCTTTCGTTGTTCGTGATTCTAACCTTAACAGAAGAGACGATTCCTATTTAAATATTTTTAAGTTTACTGAAATATTGGGATTTTGAGTCATATGAAATTGATAAATTTTCAATTTAATATTGGCATGTTCTCATGGGATGCATGCCATAGCCAAATAACAAACTTCATCATTTTGTTTAATTCGCCCGAACTGAAAGTGGTTCAATACTATTTAAAGCGGCGGGAATCTTAAAAGAGGTAAGTGCACTTAAATTTTGAGCATATCGGTGATAAAAGTTTCCCGAAAGACCGATGAAATAGCCGTAATTTTGATGGTAAAGTTATCTTAAGAGTTGAACTTAATTAATTCTTAATAGGCCCCTCTAAAACTGATGATTTCACTAAAACCTAATGGGGCATTAAATACTTGCCAAAATAGGAAGACCGTGTCTGCTGGCCAAGTGGAGATGAATGCTAGGGTAGTGGTGGATTGGGGAGAGAGGGAAGAGTTAAGGCGTCGGCACTGAGCAAGAACATCCCAGATTGTTAAAAAATATGCAACAAAAAACACACTCACAGGGGCTATCTGGTTTCATTCTGTGTGAGTCTAGGTGATGTTTTAACTGAGCAGACCGCTGACTCATTGTGGTCATTGCAAGGCCAGTTTCGAAATCCCAACGCTGGATTATAATGGCACGATGCGGTAACTGTGCGCTTTGGCTAAAAAAGAACACAGTTTGAGGAAATAAAAATTAATTAAAATTAATTTAACGACTTTTTATGAACCGATTTGATCATTTATTCTGAATAGATGCTTCCTTATAAACTAACTTCAGGTGTGAATTTCACGATTTTGCAACGAGTAATAAATCAGACTCATTCTTAAATTGTCATATGCGATGGGGGAGTAAAGTGTTCCAGAAAAGGGCGCGTTTTGCTTGTTGATATCCCAAGATACATTGTAAGAAAACTTTTTAACAAATCCACCATACGGATCTGGGCTTGCTGTCTTAAGGTAGACATTGTCGTAGTATTTGAGCAAATATCAGCACTTACAAAATATTTCAACATTGTCAGCAGATCAAAATGAAAGTTAGTATAAATAGTAAACTCTATTACACTTTAGGCGGGAATAATCAATGTGGAAAAATTGCAGCTCACATCCACGTTTGTACTCACTAATGCTACCCACTCTATACTCTTTTACCCACATGGTGTTCTCTCTTAAAAGTAATTCCAATATTTATTTATTTATATCAAGTGGCAGACGTTTTGATGGTTATCATTAGCCCTTTAGTTGACTTCAGGCTTCACAGAGGGGAAGGGACATCATAGTGGAAAAAGTCGAGAGTGGGGGGGGGGGAACAGAAGAGTGTTTCAAAGACGAAGGTAGAAAATTTTTAAAAAATGTGATGTGAGTACTATGGAAGTAGTCGAATATGGCATACAGTGGGGTCAGAAGTCAACTGGCGGTTAATAGGTTTTTTTGCCGCATGAGTATACGCTGCCCAGGGTGCACCTCGTGGAGGTAAGTCTATCGCACACCCCGTAACTCCAATACTTATTGGTGCTAAAGGAGAATAAGGATTTTGGACCTCCGATCAAAATCTCTTTCAACGCAAGCCAATCTTTTATCTCGCAAAAGTTAAAAATCTTCTTAAAGGTGTCTAAAATGCCATTCACATTGACATCATCATCAATACCTCCCACTTCCGTTAAACTCTGCTTGGTGTCAACTGTTTCCCTTTGAATCAAGGAATAGCAATGATTGCTTAAACTGCCGGTATTGCTTATTGCTACTTACTTTTAATGAGGAAAAAATTGCTTGATGTTTTAACTGATCTATCTTCCTGAGCACACGGTTAAGGAAGGAAACGATTGTGATAACT